AAAAACTGATTGAAATCATTTGCAAGAGATTTATGGTCTCCTTTATAGATTTGTCTTTCTTTTCCTTTTGATGGTATAAGACGGTTTACTATTTTCCATAGAGACCCCGGATTATCTTTATGTTGCCGTACTTCATTAGAGTTATACTCATTCTCCGCCTTCTTAAGATCTCTCTTCACATTATTCCGGTAGCTCTTATAATTGACCCAGTCTATAATATCCCGCGTACGTAGAAATCGTTGATGTAATCGATCTCTCTCTTTCATAAGGTTTCTGAGGTCTTGGGTAATAAATGGGCATGGTCGGTTACGGATCTTAATTGTTTTAATTGGAGCATGAACGTCTAGTGTAGACTGGATCGCATAGTTAAGAATGTTTAGTTTAGCATTTACATCGTCGCCGTCAAAAATAGATAGGAGACAATCTGATTTGTCCGCAAGATCAGCTGCAAAATAATTCGGTACATAATTTTTAAAGCTACGTGCTGTAATGTATTGCGAAGGTTGCTTAGGAGACTTAATCTTAAGTTCAGCATACACAAGTAGATGGTCACTGATTGATGTAAGTAATACTCCACTTCGGTACACTATTGAAGCATCTACTCTAACTGGAGCGATGGGTGTTATTTAGGATAAACATAATCAAGAGAATAAGGTCGGGGGAACTCAACGCAGATATAATAGACTTCATTATCTATGTTTTGGTCTTGGTTAAGTTGATGCACGAAGTGGTCGGTTGAACATCACGCGTGTATTGTATTTTCACCCAACCAACCCATAGCAGTGTGTTGTTTTAATTACCCAGTCGTGATATTACACAATGGTTAAATGAAAACATAGCTATTGGTTGCCAAAGCGAAAGTACATAAGTGTTTTAAATCTTCATTACAGACTCCAAAGGACAAACTCAAGTGCATTCAACGTTGTTGTACAACAATTATGAGCCTGCTAGGTATGTCCAGCGGCGATGCAGTGGGTGCTGACGCGTTCACCCCAGTCCTGATATACGTGGTGATGCACGCGAACCCCAGGGGACTGTTAACGACCATAGATTTCATTAATAATTACCTGAACGAAACACTGAGCGGAGAACAGTATTATTGCTGGATGCAGTTCTGTTCCGCCATTCAGTTCATCAAAATACTGCTGGAGGAGAACAAGTCGATGTTGAGTCAGTTATAATCACACCCGTAAATAAATTAAGAGACACTTCTACCCAAATGACGAAAATGGGTTTCACATGGTGGTTGAAATACAGGTAATGGAAACAATACGAAGCATTGACTTGATCCTATAACTGTCAGTACCTCTGAGTTTGGCTACCAATTTTAAGGTTACAGAACACCTTTGAGTGTTAATTTTGCCTAAAATTTTTTTATTGGTTTCGATGAAAGTATTAGACTAGTTCTACTATCTGACCAAGTTTGAACGAAAAATGTTGAAAACTCGCAGAGTTATTTAGTAAAATACATTTCGCTGCAATAAGAAAAACATTGAAAATGTAATATTCAAATTCAATTTTCTCACGAAAAATTTTACGGTAATTACTGATTTTCAAACGAGTTATGCTCCTGCGGGTTTTAACCAATTTTCAAATTTTCACAGGACATAGCTCAATACGTCAGTTTCAAAATTGTGTTCGGCTTTTATTTAATTTTGGATATTTTAAAAATAAAGAGCAATTCACTCAAACAATTCAGAAATATATTGCAGTCGTCAAAGAAATCGCCATATCAGCGGAATGACGAAATAAACAAAAATTTCCGAACACAATTTTTTAGAACAACTATTTTACTGTATAAAAATGATATTTTCATAAATATAACTTAAAACCAGCAGGAGCACAACTCAAAAGCGTAAAGGTACCGCGATTTAAGATTTTCCTGAATAACTCTTACATTATTTTATTGTTTGTTAATTTTACAACTTTACCATATTTTGCATGCACTGGAGAACATTTGGTGAAAATTTGATGAAAATCGGACTGATATTGAGCGCGCAGTAGCGATTTTCCGCAAAACGCCAAAAGGGTGTCCTGTAACCTT